TGACTGTTGGACTGCTGTTTATCGCAGGCTGTTGTCTCCTCCTCCGGTTTCTGGTTCAAGGTGGGTGTTTTATCAAACAGTATGACATGGACTGTCTTCTTTTCTGTCATTTTCTTTAGCAGGGTCTTTGTGCCCACTACCTGGTTTAAGTCCAGCAACAAATAATCTTCCTCCTGGATTTTCACCTTTGTCCAAAGACTCGAAGGTTTCCTCTTATATCGAATGAAGCACGTTTTATTTCCCTGTCATTTTCTGATACTGAGCCCCTGGCTCCTCACACAGGTAAACAGTGGTGGTTGTTTATCACTTTGTGCCAAGCCCTGGCATGCTCAGGGAGAAGATGTTGTTGACCTTGAGTTAAAATAGAGCTCTTATCATTAGCTGTCTTGATTGACAGCAGGGTGTTTATGAGCAGACCTTTTTTCCCTTCATCTCTGGGGGTTTAGAGCTCCTGCCAAGAGGTGACTCTTTATTGACTCTTTCTTTCTGTCTTTCTTTCTCTGAAATGCTTTTTCTTTATTTCCCCATCCTTATTCGCATTTAAAAATGGGTAATTCTGTAACAGCATCACTTCATATCAAATGCTTTGCAGCATAGTGAAACGCAGAATAGTGTCTGTATTGATGCTGTATTGTATTGATACTAATAAATAAACGTGCCCTTCCAAAATGTGGTTTTGGGAATAATTAGTCACAAATCGATTAAATTATAACTACTGCTCTTGTTTTCCCTTGACATCAAATATTTACATACATCTATTAAATGATGTAACATTTTCTTCACACTCTGCAACATTAAATCAGACTTCTTCAGATAGGAAGACCAGAAACTTTTCTATTTAGCAATGCAAAAGTGGTAATATATGGGGTTTATTTAAGGCAAAACTGCAACTATGCTGTTAACTTGTGTTAAATTGGAGGAAAAGCAAGAAAAACATGCCCAAAATCTGAAAAGAGATCTTGGTTCTTCCATATGTGTAATGTACAGATGGATAAAGGTGCCAGATTAATCCATTCAAAATGTTTTACAGATACGTTTACAGAAGGTTAAACATGATAGAAAAGAGATTGGGTATGTGTCCCAGAGGTGGAGGTATTTTGGTCTGTACCAAACCCAGGGGAGAAGCAAAAGACCTCGCAAAAGTCCTGGTTAAGGTTGGCAAGAAATGTATTCACTTAGCAGAAAACAAACCAGTACCTGCGTGGGCTAAAAGACAAGAAAGACGCTTTTATACCGAAGCAACAGAAAAATCAGACAGTAGTTTCCAACAGATACCTAAGCTTGAATTTTCAAAACCATGTCCAGTGGTTAAAAACTAACCTGTTGTTATATTTGGAAGAGAAAAGGTAAAGGAAGTTAGCAAGCCTTAGAAAAACCTAGCTAACTATAATGTACAAAAGTAGCATCAAATATCCTTCTTTCCATTAATACCACCAAATCACCTTTCTGTACAGCTTCACCCACTTTTTAAGCTTTTCCATTATTGTTGCATAATCCTGTTCTCCGTTGTAGTACCTGCTTATATGCAGTTTCAACCGTGAAGGGTCCTGTTGAAAATGTAAAGTCAAAGCACTGCTGGTCTTGGAGTGGAGCCTCTGGTTTTACATGGATATTTGACATCATGGAAATTATAGTTAATAACCTCACCATTAAACCGACGGCCTTATTGTGTGTATGACCGCTACATCAAGTTAGCATTAGCTTACGCTTGTGTCGTCTAGCTTGTATCCTTTAATCCCGTCTTTATCCAGAGTCCCTCATGATGGAGTGCCTCTGGCTGTCTCTGAGTCTAACTAAAATGATAATGGAAAATAGAGCTGACATGAACAGAAACAAGGCAAATAGATTTTGTGCCGATACTGAAACACAAAAAAATTGTTCTATTAAATGAGCAGTGAGCCTAAACACACCACCAAATTAGCTACGGAGTGGAGCATGGACTGCAAGGCAGTGTTTTGGACTCGACCACTATGTGATTTTACTCCGATAGACAATTTGTGGGCGAATCTGAAAGGCTGGCATATGCAATTGGTCCAAACCTGACTCAATTGTTGCTTCCTAAAAACATAGTTATGACTATTTTTGGTCATGTTTAAATCTAAGTTGTATGTAAGCATAGTTATCTCCGCCTCCATCAGCTCCTCTTCTTCTAATAAGTAACCAGAGATGGGTAGAGTACCCATGAATTCTACTTCTACTATTGGTAGCAATACTACATATTTTTACTAAGTAAAAGTAAAAAATAGCCATCCCAAAAATTACTCAACTAATAGCGGAGGTGTCAAGTAACGAAGTACAAATATTTTGTTACTGTACTTAAGTACACTTTCTAGGTATCTATACTTTACTCCATTACTTATTTTTCTGTCTACTTCTGACTTCTACTCATTACATTTTCACACAAGTATCCGTACTTTCTATTTATTACATTGTTAAAACAAACATTACTCGTTACTCTTGGCTTTGGTTTAATGCAGAGGTCATGAATTAGCGGACCGCGCTCCGGATCCGGACCCACCTGCTGGCTAATCCGGACCCAACATGATTTAAAACATTTATAAATTTATAAATTTCCACATATCTGTCTGATGACAGTGTCTAAACGTCACTTGCGCCACTTCTCCTGTTACCATGAATCCTACATCCTCCGTCTCCGCTCCGCAGCGTTCCAGACTGCCTGCGCAAAGCAAAGCCTCCAGGCTGCGCTGTTCCTCCCACATTGCTCCGCTCCAACTTATCCTCGGAGCTCAAGGAGAGCATGCGCGATACTATCATTAAATTCGTAGGAGCAAAACATCCAGAAATCCATCCATTTTCTTACACGCTTGTCCCGAGTGGGGTCGCGAGGGGTGCTGGTGCCTATCTCCAGCAGCCAATGGGCGAGAGGCCGGGTACACCCTGTACAGGTCGCCACTCCATCGCAGAACATCCAGAAATGAACGCTTAATTTAATATGACATATTAAAATAATCCCCATCGGCATCCAGCATATGTGCGGTTTCTGATGGAGAAGAGAAATCTGCTTTCTGGTCTGTTGAAGTACCAATATTTTGCATCCAATATTTTAAATAAACGGTTTTAGTTTTCAAATATATAAGAATTATGCTCTAGTTTGTAGTTACCGATCTGTTGTTACAATATTTAATTTGACAAACCGGATCTTCTCGCCGTTCTTTTTCCTGTTTGGTTCAATTACAATAGCGGATCTTGACCTGGCCGGACCGGAGCGGAGCCTGAACATTTTGAGTATGTTTGGCTCAACCTGCTGCTGTGAGGCAGGATTCTCCACCATGAACAGAATTAGAAATAAATATGGATCCAGGCTCAAAATGAGCAACTTGATATGTGCTTTAGAATGGCTTTGTCTCCATTCAAACCCAGGTTTAAAGCCTTGCAGGGCAGCATAAAGCCCACTGCTCTCAATAAGACAGAAAAAGAGAAAATAACGGTCAGTTCAGGTGTTTTAAAAAAATATGAATTAGGAAAATGTCTATATACCAAACTGAACAATTGTTGTTCTCTGCTTCAAAAAACACTTTCGATTTTAAAATGGAAAATATTTCTTTCTTTTTTTTTTTTTAGATATTTTTATTAAAAAAATCAATGTATAACATGGATGCATAAACACCTCATTTTATTTCAGTGTTAAATTCTGTTTATAGTTACAGATCATTACAAAATGTCTTCGGACCTTTACTGGTTGATGATTTTCTTTATTCGGACCCCACTTATTTTAAATTAAGTACTCCAGCGAAATCCACATCTAGTAAAAACTAGTGTAATTGGATAGATCATATAACACAAAGACTCATTGGTTAGCTAACGGAAATCATCAGAAACAAGCAGGTGTTCTTCAAACTGCAACCGTGAATTGTCTATGCCATGCTACAATGTAGGATTCAGGAAAAGATGTTGAAATGTCTGAAAGGTCGGACACAGGCGAGAGCGTATCGGGAGACGGAGACCAACAAGACCTCCCTCATCCTTGGACCTATCTCAAAGAATTTTTTTCAAAAAAGTTAAAAAATTGAGCTTTCAATTCATATAGTGGCATCTGGCTGTTTTTTTAAAGGTTACTTTATACTTTTATACTTGAAGTAGTTTTTGGAGCACATACTTTTTCACTTTTACTTGAGTAATAAGGTCAAGTTGATACTTTAACTTTTACCAGAGTGTTTTTAAGCTGCAGTATCTATACTTCTACTTAAGTAACAAATGTGTGTACTTTTAACCCCACTGACTAATAGTAAAAAATGTATTTGGGAATACCATTTCTCAAGTACTGAGTAACTCATTATAACACCCACTTTAAATAAACAATAAAACTAATCTGGTATTGTAAACACTATTAGCAAAAAATAAAACAAAGGAATAATGTTACTGATAATGGATTATGGTAATAACAAATCCAGGCAGACGAAATTATATATATTCTTTTAGAAAAAACTTGTAAATCCAGTCCATTTAGTAGGTCACAGAGATGATAAAAGTGTAAATTAGCTCCAGTGACATGATCTAATCCTTACTGTATAATAGCTTGACCATTTAAGGTTGGTTCACCACATAGAAAGTAAGCTTGTTTACCTAATCATTATATGTGAAGATGTCTTGGGCTGGAGCACTGTTGGGGAGCAATATTTTAGTAAGATATTACTTATGTAAAAGTAAAAATGATTCTAAAAGTAAGTTTTGAAACTGTTTACTACCCACATAGCATCCTCGCTAGTTTTACCTCCAATCAGCACATCTGGATTTTTTTTAACACTGACGGGAAGTAAAATCTTGTGGAAAAATGCTCTGAATATATAATTTTGATAATTTTAAGGGAGTTTTAAGACAGTTGACTAAAAAGGAACTACCAACCAAGATTATATAATCTTGGGTTCTTGGTTACCAGGTACGGTCTCTTTAGGGGAGACAAGGATGGATTTTAGATGTGTTCAAATATCATGCAATTACTTCCTATATCTTATCTTATATTTAGTTTTTTCTCTCCTCAGGTCCTTTGCTCTGTCCGGACCCCAGAAAACCCACTGGACAGCAGCTTCAGTCAGCTTCAACACTACCAGCTGCTGACAGTAGAGTTACCTGCAGGACCTCAGGGATCCAGAGAGGGCTTCTCCGCTGATAGCTGCGTGTATGAATGTGCACGAGGTCGCCTACAGCGCATATCCCTCACCACCATCCCACTGCCATCACCTCCTATCTCCTGCTCTCGGCACCCATCAGAGACCGCTCTCCTTCTAGGCTTGAGTGACTCCTCTTTAGTCCTCTACGACCAGAGACGGGCGGTCTCGGTCTTGGCCTCCTGCCCTGTACCGCCCTCCTACATGGCCTGGCACCCTACGGGGGCTGTCGTCGTTATGGTGGGGGGACAAGAGGAAGTGATGTGCTTTGATGTGGGCTTGGCACCTTTAAACATGGCTCTCGTAGCAGAAGAAGCATCTCCAGCCGCCACATTGAGACTAACTCAGCACATAAACTGCTCCGGAGGCCTGGTTGGGCTGCAGTGGGGGGCTGGTTTTGACGGTGGCCCGGAGGGGACAGATACGCTAACATTAGTCTTTAATGGAGGACCACTAGTCACCTTAAAATTCAGACTAGGTAAGTCATCAACGTTTTGATAAAAAAATTTACTTCTTTACGTTTATTTTATTAAAAATCATTGCACCGTATGAATAGATTCTGACCTCCTGGCTGAATGTTGTGAATCTTTCAGCAGGAAGCAGCGAACCAGTTAGCATCAGGTGATCTCTGTCAAACAGTAGATGTGGTTACGTCACCATCAAATTATGAAAAATAATTCCCTTAATGGAAAACCCTGCAAATAAAAAGAAACTCCCGTCTTTAGATAAATTTTTACACTTCGATGAGTTGGTTTTTTTTTAATCGTATCAAAATTGTTATATTTCGCAAAACTGCAATGGAGACACTTTTCCTCATCACATGAGTCATGTGATCTGGAGCTGGACCTTACTGCCTTTTAAAAATAAGAAGAAGACCGACAGTAGGTGGAGGATGATGGCGCCCCCCAGAGCCACAGCTGAAATATTGTTGCCATGTTGTTCTTTGTCTAATCTGCGATAGATTAAATGAGAAGTGTGACAAAGGTCAACATGTGCCTCTGAAACTGGAGCATGCCTGCCCTGTATTTACCGTAAATATGAGCCCCTGATGGCTGCCCCTGTTTCCACCAGGCGCCCTGTTCCCTCCAAGTTCTCCGCCTCTGTTTTGGATCTGTGAGAACCAGGCTGGCGAGCGGGTCGCCCTGTTACAGAACCTCCCCGCTGCAGAAGGAAGTTAATTCGTAGGGAAGGTTAGCGGGAGTCACGCTCTCAGAGGTCATTCAATAATCGCCCCGGGGCACGAGCTCCCACGCCCTCAGGTGCATTCTGGGATGCATTTTTCCGATAAATCGTTTACAGTGGCTGCACAGTCCCTCGGGAACCCTAGATAAAGTTTGCCAATCAAAGTTTATTCTGCGAGACAGACGTCTATCCCTGTCATTCTCACACACCAAGTTCTTTTAGCATCTTTAATTGGAACTTCGGAAAGATGATGTCATGTAGCTCTGCTGAAGTTTGAAACCAGGCAGGTTTGGGGGGGGGTCTAGTAAATGTGTGTGCTGTTTGTGTATGTGACCAGGAAGGGGGGGTGGGGGGTGATCTTCCAACAATAGCTTCGACTCCTCTGATCCTCTGCCAAGGTTTCCGATGAAGAAAGTGACTGCACGTCTTTTCTCTATGATAATTCCCCCAACATACGCATGTACATTAGTGTGCATTCTCCTATTTATGTGCTTCTTTACACACACATACACTCTCTCTCTCTCCAACTCGTTTGTTGCTTGTGCTCCTGCTCTGTATTGACTTGTTTCATGCTGCCTGCTACATGACAGAAGGAGCGAGTCGGAAGGCGGCGTGGAAGAAAGACTTGGCCATGCTCCAAGTTCTCCCTTCGTCTTTTTTTTTCCCCTCTGGAGGCAGGCCTCCTCTGTGCCATCCCCACACCCACCACCCCCATCCTGCACCGCGTTATCTCATCTGGGCACGCGTTGGCCGCTGCTGGGCCTGCAACGGTACACGGTGTAGAGAAGCAGACCAGGAAATGTGCTGCAACCAAGAGAGAAAAAAGGATTTTTCACTCAGGGCTTGGAAGACAGTAAAACAGGATGTAATGATGAATCTGGGTTTGGAAAAACTGGAATAATGGAAGGAAGCCAAAGTAATATAAAATAATAATTATAATGCAAAGAAAAGGCAAATATCACTTACTATTTTTTAAAACTAGAAGCCCCAACTATCAGCTTTAAATGGGCTGCTGTACAGTAGGTAGTACTTTTTCTTATGTGCTTTCACCCTTATCATCAAAGAAATTGGTGGATTTACTCCCAAAAATTCAAACCATTGATTTAGACAAAACATAACCAAAATATGGCCATTATGATAACAGACAGTAAAGAAAGGAGAAATCAAAATGTGCTATTTGTTCCCCACAACAATGCATTCTACATTTTAGTCTGAGATCAGATTGATCAGTTACTATATTTACATATTTATAACCACCTTTTTATGTGAATGTTTATGGTTTCATTATGCATCAAAATGTTTAGGTTTATGAAGTATATAATGAAGTATCATCTACCTGAACAATTAATTAGTCAATAAGCTTTACAATGGCTGTCTGTAGAAAGAATAGGAAGTAGACATGAAAGGTTTCCATTCATGCTGGAAAAGACCCAACATGTTCTCTAACTTCTCTCATATATTTAGAAATCGGTACAAATATCAAACAGCAAAAACTTATGTATGTCATTTTGTTCTTGAGTTAAGTGTTTTCCCTTGACAGTTTGCCAGTGAAATAAGATGATTTATATTTAAAATAAAAGAAAACAACAACTTCAATGTCTTATTTTATGTGCATAATATCTAATTATCGTATTTTAAGAGAAAAATATTAATTCCAAGAGCTGATCGCCTTAATCTCCTGCTTAAGTTAATGGTAAAAACACTTATTATGAAAGATTTACTTATTTTTTTATACATTTTTACAGTGTGGGCTAACCCTGCAAAAACTGAAATATTAGTAAAATTATTTGTCTTGAAATAATTATATTTTACTTGGTTTTAAGCAGGTTAATAACACAATTTCCCCATCGCACCCTGATACTTTCACAGGTCCCACTCTGACACCCGCTTCAATAATGTGTCTCAGTATAAATGCAGCAGATAATGATGACATCATTGTCAGTATAGTAGAACTTGGTTAAAATTATGTTCAAAACGAAATAATGTTTTTTGATCACAAATGAAATCTAGTTTTAATTTGACGTTTATTGCACTGACCTGCTTTACTTACAATGAGTCCAGCCTGATGGTGCTTTAGAGACAGGCATCATTTAAGAAACTGTTTAATACTGAACAAAACATGTTAATATAAGAATTTAACGCTGGGTTATCTTTAAGCTCAGGTTTGTTTCTAAACTGATATTTTCCCAGTTTTCATTTCTCTGTAGTCTGATTTAATGCATTCCTGTTTAATTCCTGCACCTAATGCTCTAACTTCCTCTGCTCCTGGATAAAACCTGCACTCTGTTGATTCACTCATCTCTATGGACTGACTGTAAACAACTGGGACAGCCTGGAGAAGGCAGTGCTGTCAGAGTTGCACAGGCCCACTGGTTGGAGCTGTTACTGGGCAGACCTGCCCGGTACACCCATACTTCATGGATACCAACTATTCTTTTATATGAAAATGTAAGCTGCAACAATTTTGCGGCATCTGCCTCCATTTGGACTGACTTTATTTCCATCACTGACCAAACTTGTTCTGGAGACGTTTACTGAGAGGATAAAGTATGAATATTTTCTACTCAGAATACATCTAATTATCTGCCAGTGCAGTAAGGCAGTGGCTTTCGGTGGGACCTCTTGCTGCACTAGCAGATTATTATACTTATTTCCTCCTTAAAAGAAGATTAATAATCCAGCAGAATCTGCTTCTACATAGTCTATCAATCTCAAAACAAGATGAAAACGACATTTGTGTTCGATTTAAGATTGAAAAGCTTGGTTAGATGGAGTTTTTGGAGTATAACATTGGGATCAATTAAGTGTTTTTGAGTTGAAGTCATTAAGATTTTTACTTTAAAGAAAAAAAAATCAGTTATAAAACAATAAGTAACATCAACTTCAATTACTGTACAGAACTGATTTCAGAGCTTAAAGTTACAGCGGCTATCCTCGAAAGCAACATGTCTCTTCCAGATCTATTCTTTTGGCTGACTGCTTCTCATGGCTAAATCTACAACACTCAAACTATCTTTTGAGCACAAATATTTACACCTATATATGTTTTATAAATTAATCTTTAATTTAAGCAATGGGTTTTACTGTGTAACAGAGGTTTTATGTCTGTTTTCTAACATTTTTCTTTCATTTGTAAATCAGTTAAGGCTCCTGTATTTTTCCTGCCTGTGGAGACAGTAAATGCGCTGGACTTTTTTCCACTCGGGGATGTATATGTTGGAAGGGTCAGACACGTTTTGGCTGCTCTCCCAGTGAAGCTGTAATTTGAATGCCTTTGCGATGCATGCTAAAGCTGCAGGACAGTGGTGCTGGAGGATGCAGGACAGGGAGAACATTGAACAAAGAACCAACCACAAAGCCAACAGACTGGAGGAGCTCCAGAGATCCACAGCTACTGTAGTAAAATGATCTGTTGACAATTATTTAAATCTGTTATTAAAAATGATTGGCACTGTTAAAGAAATTGTTACTAGGAAGCCACAGAAGACCCTTTTAAACCAAGCCACAGGATATTTAGGGGACAAAGCAAAGAAAGCAAGGGCAATTTTCTAGTTAGTTTAATACAGTAGATACACTTTGGATTAACCTATTAGACACCAACACCTTTCGTGCACTGAAGGATATAAACTAGTGATCAAATATTGGATGTTCAATCAAATTATTTCTCTGATTGTTTCTCTTGTGTGCTTTCCGTAGATCTTAAAGTCAAAATAAAGTCAAGATAAAGCTTAAAACAATTTTTTATTTAATGTTTGCTCGACATGAAGGTCTCTTCTTTTTGTTTTCTACTTGTTTTTATGTGTTCTTTTCTTAGCTGGCCAATTAAACCAGCATAGACAGGTGTGAGAGGGAGCTATCACGCCTTCACGCCACAAGGATCCATTGTTTCTGCTAAAAAGTTTAGTTAGAGCAGCAGTCAACACCCAACTCTAGCCCTCCTGCACACAGCCACACACAAACAGCACCCACAAACACAAACAAGCTGATGTATTAGCCACATTAGCCTTCTCTTTAGGGGATTTGGAGGTTTGCTAATTGCCAGCTTGTCATTTTAATTGCCCTTACCACCCTCTCCACCTCCCCCATCTACACACAACTTCTTCAGCTACTTTAACAAGACTTCGAACAGCCTGCTGCACCGACAATAAACGCTCACTATCCATGACCTTCTTTTATCTGAATATTTCATTGTGACTTCAGGAAGCAATAAATGATTAAAAACAATGCTGTGTAAAACAATTTTAGGTTTGTTTCTTTGTATTTTTTAGCTTCTAAGGAGTCAGAACTACGGGTAATCCTTTAAAGTTGTCTTAATCAACAACTCTTCAGGCTTTCTGCTCGGCCTCTTTGCCAATTTTCAGGGTAAAGTTGTTTTTTTGTTTTTTTTTGTAAGCTGCTTAACACTGACCTGTGAATCATTCAACGTGTAAATTGGCACCTAGGTCACACTTTGTTATAATTTCCTTTAATTAATCTTTTGAAAATATTCTAACACATTTTTGCAGAAATAAAGTAGTATTTTCAGCTTTAAAGAGATACATTTTTTTATCTGTTTGGCTGAAAACTGAGGATAAGATCTTATCCAATTAAAAAACATAATAATGGGCCAATTTATTATTATCGTATATTCCATCTTTATGTAGAGTCATAATTTTCAGAAAGGACCTCTATAAACATTCTTATAATACCTCTTTTATATTTTGTATTTACTGGTTTATGGGAATATTTTGATTTCAATTGGTTGCTTATTTTTCCTCCAATATATATATATATTTTCTGTTTAATTGTCTTTGCAACAAACATTTTCCTTTTTCTGGACAATGAAAAGTGAAATAAAAACAACATAACTTAATGTTACGTACGAAAAATTATCTTCAGTGAGCTTCCATAGCTTTTCTTCTTAGAAATATATATATATATTTTAACATTTTAACTCTTTGTGTGATTTTAAACCATAAAAGTAAAAGTCTAATCAGTTTATGTCCAGCATGTGTGGGCTCTGCTCGGATGTTAGCTGCTCTTTTCATGAGCTTAGAGCTGCACAAATCTTTTATGAGAAATCCAATTCTTTATTGCAGACACAAGGAGGCTCCATATTGGTTAATAAGAAAAAGGACAACAAAAAATAACAAGATATAAAAACATGAAAAGACAATGAACCTATTTCATCAAGTGCAATGATTATATAACCAAATTTAAACCTAAAGGTTGCTTCTTTTATAATGAGAATATAACAGATGTAGGATGAAGTTATTTGTGATTTAATTTAATCATCTATTCAGGTGACTTTCACAACTGATTTTTTTTAAATTGATGTTTCTTTTTCATTTACTCTGACATTTATTAATTCAACCTTACCTGAACTCTGTCTCCACGTGGTAGGAGCTCTAACTGGAGGCCAGCTGGGTCATGTGGAGCTGCTCCAGCAGAGGCTTCGTTGCGGTCAGGTCAGAGAGGCGCTGGGCATCTTGGAGGCCATGGACTGGAGCACCATGGGGGACGAGAGCTACCAAGGCCTGAGCTCTGTCACCAACCACCTGCTGAGGCTGCCGCTGAACGCAGACAGAGAGGGTATATCTCTGGTTTTTCATTCCCGAGCAGAAATTTAGCCTGTCAGCTAGGTTAGCTATTTGTTGGTCCATTGACCATAAACATCTACAGCCCTTGTTGAATAATATGCTGCTGTGATTTTCCACATCTCTGATGTTGCTGCTATTTCAAATATGCATTAGTGTAAAAATGTCCATTGCTGTATATTGGTTATTTGCTCTCCAGGTGCACAGTCTACAGCACAGTATTTTATTTTTTATCTTTTAACACTTCACTCTTATGTTATTCTTATGCATTTTTCTAAGGTCCACATTTGTGTGACCATTTATTCTATAATCTTTTTGCTGCTGCATAACACAAGAATTTCCCCATTATGGAACAATAAAGGATATGTGTTCTATTCCATTCTATAATGCCAGAATGTTGGAAGGTGTAAAAACATTGGCCATCCTTTGATTAGATCAGTTTAGGAGGCACCATCGGTGCGATCTAATATATAAAGTAAAACATTTGCTTAAATAAGCATTCAGTCTTGTTAATTTCACATGTATAATCAGTAATTGTGATTCTTGATAACTTAAAACCACATTTTAGTTTATTTCTAGTATTTGGAATCCAAATTTTGGAACCTGTAGCTTTGAGCTAAATGAGTTTGCAATGGTTTAGAGGGGTCTTGTTGTACACAAGCATCAGTCAGGGGAAGGCTGTAAAAAAATCTAAAGGTTTAATATACCACATAATGCAGGAAGGAAGGTAGTAATGGCTTTACATAAACTGGATATTTCTCTGAAATTAGTATAAATGCCAGGTGGAGCGAGGGAGGCTAACATAGGCGTTCAGAAAAAGTTCCAATCTTTGTTTGTGTCCTCTTCCAAATCAAGTAATGGAAGTCTATGTTTAATGAGAGGCCAGATACATAATAAAATCTGAGGGCTCAGCTGATATGTCCTCACAGGAGGATAGGATAACTCAGAGTAGATACTTATTGCCATTTTACGATATTTCAAAGAAGGCTGAAGGAAATTGATTGATTGATTGATTGATCTCAGAGTGGAGAAATGTACTTCTTACATCAGTTAAAATAGTCAAAGGAGAAGAATGTGCCAAAGGAAGAAATAGGTGCATATGATATATACAGTATATACAGTGCATTCACAAATGACAGTTTGTTTTTTGTGTATTTCAACAAGGATCAGTTCAAATGTGTACATTAGTGTGCAGGCAGGTTATTACCCCAGATTTTTTTGTTTGATAAAATAAGCTCTATATTGATCTCTTTAGTCTTTTTACACTGTTGATATCCACTTTAGACTGCCAGTTGTTCCTATATGAACCAGGCATAATGTGCATTAAAAGAAACGTGATAAAAATATATGTATTAAATAGATCTTGGTGTGTCTCTGCCCTGCATTCAGCCCAGCTGGAAGCTGCTCTGCGGGTGTTTTACGCTCCGGCTGCCCCCCTTTCTGATACAGTGATACTGGAGTACAGGGAGCCAGTCAGCAAGTATGCTCGCCGCCTTTTTCACCACCTCCTCAGGTAACAACACTTTCTCCATGCCGCTGCTGCTCTGTTCTTAATTTGATGCTCTGAGTGAGAAATCTGCTTTGTGCATCCCCACTGGGGTCCAGGTCAGCTTCTGTAGAGCTCTTCTGGCAGTAAAAGAAAAGGATGTAATTCTTTCGCGGGCCACAGTTCAGTGATGTGAAATGTAAAACCCATTCAGAGAGTATTTTTAACACACTACTGGAGCACATTGTTGGCTTTATCTGCGTCCAAAAACGTCTTTTAAAAATGACAACCGTTGAGAAAACAAATTTAACACTCCTTGTTTTCCTCTTGCTCGTTCTATTTTGACATTTCTAAAAAGGACGTAGCTTTTGAATTTCATCAGTCACACACACACAGCAGTGCCGCTTTGAGTCATTCATGAGGCAAAGCATCACACATAGACCTGTTTAACTGTCGTTTCATTTTCCCTTCTGCCATTAGAGCCTTTTGAAACGCCTGTTTGACTGAAATAGACCCTGTTGTTCCCACACACTGCTGCTCACAGCTCTCCATCTAGCAAATACCTCCTCTCTCCTCCTCTGTACCAGAGCTGGAGTGTTGTTTGGACTCCCTCCTCTTCCTCCTCCTCCTCCCTTATCACCTGCCTGCATTCTTTTTCTCTCCATTAACATCAAATAACGAAGCTCCCCCCCTTCTACTTGTTTATTTGTTTCATGTTGGATGTAGACGGGGAAAGTTGCGGTGGTTCGCTCTCTCTTTTGGCTTTAATTCTAGAAAAAAAAAAAAAGCTCACTATTTACTGTACACTTATTGGCAGTGTAGTGCACAGCGAATTATGTGCATATCGCTGGATTTAATTGTCTGTGTGCAACAATAAAAAGCTAGGAGGGAAAATGTACCTCAGGCTGATTCATCTCTAAATCTTAGTGAGGGATTTATTTTTCTCTGTTTTCCTTTGCAGGCATCAGCGTTTTGAGAAAGCTTTCCTCCTCGCTGTAGACTTGGAGGACCGAGATTTATTCATGGTGAGTTGAAAGAAATTTAGATTTTGAGAAGTAAACAGTAAAAATAGTGGAACTGAAAACAATGAAATAGATTCTAAAACATCCTTTACATAGTTTTTTTATACCAGCTTCTGTTTGTCCTCTCTGGGCTACCGTAGACAGATAATAATGCAAAAAAGAAGACGGTTTATGTGTGTTTGACCATCCAAGCATCCATCCATGACTGCATCCAACCATAATCCATACATCCATCATTGCATCAAACCATCATCCATCCATCCATCCATCCATCCAGCCATCCATCCATCCATCCATTCTTCCATCCATCCATCCATCCACCCATCCATCCATCCATTCTTCCATCCATCCACCCATCCATCCACCCACCCATTCATCCATCCATTAAGCCATCCATCCACCCATCTATCCATCCACCCACCCATTCATCCATCCATTAAGCCATCCATCCATCCATCCACCCATTCATCCATCCATTAAGCCATCCATCCATCCATCCATCAATCCATCCATCCATCCATCCATCCACCCATTCATCCATCCATTAAGCCATCCATCCATCCACCCATTCATCCATCAATTAAGCCATCCATCCATCCATCCATCCATCATCCATCCATCCATCCATCCATCCATCCACCCATTCATCCATCCATTCTTCCATCCATCCATCCATCCATCCATCCACCCATTCATCCATCCATTAAGCCATCCATCCATCCATCCATCCATTAAGCCATCCACCCATCCATCCATCCATCCATCCACATATTCATCCATCCATTAAGCCATCCATCCATCCATTCTTCCATCCATCCATCATCCATCCATCCATCCACCCATTCATCCATCCATTATTCCATCCATCCATCCATCCATCCATCCATCCATCCATCCATCCACATATTCATCCATCCATTAAGCCATCCATCCATCCATCATCCATCCATCCATCCACCCATTCATCCATCCATTCTTCCATCCATCCATCCACCCATTCATCCATCCATTAAGCCATCCATCCATTCATCCATCCATTAAGCCATCCACCCATCCATCCATCCATCCATTCATCCACCCATTCATCCATCCATTCTTCCATCCATCCATCCATCCACCCATTCATCCATCCATTCTTCCATCCATCCATCCATCCATCCACCCATTCATCCATCCATTAAGCCATCCATCCATTCATCCATCCATTAAGCCATCCACCCATCCATCCATCATCCATCCATCCATCCATCCACCCATTCATCCATCCATTCTTCCATCCATCCATCCATCCACCCATTCATCCATCCATTAAGCCATCCACCCATCCATCCATCCATCCATCCATCCACATATTCATCCATCCATTAAGCCATCCATCCATCCATCCATCATCCATCCATCCATCCACCCATTCATCCATCCATTCTTCCATCCATCCATCCACCCATTCATCCATCCATTAAGCCATCCATCCATTCATCCATCCATTAAGCCATCCACCCATCCATCCATCATCCATCCATCCATCCACCCATTCATCCATCCATTCTTCCATCCATCCATCCACCCATTCATCCATCCATTAAGCCATCCATCCATTCATCCATCCATTAAGCCATCCACCCATCCATCCATCCATCCAGCCATCCATCCATCCATCCACATATTCATCCATCCATTAAGCCATCCATCCATCCGTCCATTCTTCCATCCATCCATCCACCCATTCATCCATCAATTAAGCCATCCATCCATCCATCCATCCATCCACCCATTCATCCATCCATCCATTCATCCATCCATCCATCCATCCACTTTTCCATTCATCCATCCATCCATCCATCCATCCATTCATCCATCCATCCATGCATCCTCCATATTTACAAACTCCTGTTTAAAATCAGCCTCTGTAGAAGATTTAAGCTTGGTGAAATAAACTCCTTGAAATACAAATCTGGATATTTGCATCATAATATGAGTTCAAAAGCAAATGTATGCAAAGTAATAATAAGTTATTACAAACTGAATATCAGATTAGATTTCCTGTCATGAGCATCTCCTGATATTAAAACGCCTACCTTCCTTTCAAAGCGAAGTCTATCTCAGTATTTTTCCAGGTTCTTTGTTGACATGACTCTGTCTGGTAAAACAAGTCAAGGCTATTATTGTGGATTACACAATTACAATTCAATTCTTAAAAATATTCACTAATATATTTAGGATTTTAAGCCATAAAAAACATCTGTTCATAATTATTTACATTTTTTACCATGAAAATAGCCAAAAAAGACACACCGTTTCCTCTGCCTCTCCTCCACATGCTGCTACAACCATCTGTTTTCAAATACAGCTGATATGACCTAAATTGGAAAGACCATATAAGGTGTGGCATAGAACAGAACCTTGTGATGTAATCACAGGAAGTTTCTGTTGTACAAATTGTTTCATGGCACAAATATGGGTAAGGATATGAAAAAAGTCTCCACTCTTTGGAAACGGAAGAAGGTTTGGAGCACCACAGTGTTAAAGCTGTGAGAAGAAAACTAATATCCCGTCCTACCTGACAGTTTTCTGAAGATCTGGAAAGGTTTTAAAAACTGGGGATATTGTTGCTTTGTAAAACATTAAAACCTTAGGATTAAAGCCTTTTTAAATGATTACCATATTTTGCTTTTGACATTAATCAGATTAGGCCAACTGATTAATATTTGGCCTCCAGAGGATTAGATATCGGCTCACTCTCCAGCACCTTTTATACGAGCTTCCTGCAGGCCCCTCAGCGCCATACACCCTATTTTAGTTGTTCATTCACTGTTAAACCCTTCTTACTTGCATTTGCACATGACTTGTAACCCACAAAAGTGTGTGTGTGTGTGTGCTAGTGTGTGTGCTGCGTGTCAGAGAGCAGGTGTGATCTCAGTGTGGGCCCCTGTCTTTTCACAACTCCAGGGCCTCAGCTCGGCCTCAGCTCTGCTCATCTAACTCAAACTTGTTCTTTCTTCCACATGTTTCTCTAGGTGTTTTTTTTTTTAAAGTGGCGGCCACCTTTTTGCGCCATGCTTCACCAGCATCAACACAAAAAACACTCACTCATGCTCCTCTCTATCCCTCAATCACACTGATAGCGCCGCTTCCAATTCCCTCCCCACTAATAGGCAGGGCTGCAGGGAAGCCGAATTGAAAAGGTGGAGTCAAGCCGGTGAACCTTGAAAGAGTGAAGGAAAGAGGGGCCGGGTGGGGGGGTCATTGAGTAGATAGAAGGTTAACATTACATTTTAAGATTTTATTTTGCATCAGAAAGGTTAAAAACAAATAAAAACTGCTGTTTCTTTTTTGAAGTCTTAAAAGATAAGAAAACAAGACAAGAAAACTGCAATGTCTGCCTATAACTGGTCTGATTTAAGGTAGATTAAACAGTAGGAGGTGGCTTCATCTGGGAATCAATCTAAAGCTTAAAGCCAAACAAAATGTATCCGTAGCTAAAATGGAACCTAAAGAATTACCAACAGGCGTAAACATAAACTAGATTGCTAGAATCATGGGGTCCAAATCGGTGAATTCTGATGTTAGAAGAACTGTCATGGCTGCATGCATCACGGCCTTCACACAGAGTCACCCTCATCTTTGTAGATCATTTTTTAAATTATTTATGATGCAATTTTGGTTTTTCTCATCCAGAAATCCTGCCCCTTAACTTTGTGTAAGATAATCAAAACACCAAATCTGGTCATATGAACTTTTTATCCAAAAGTTTAAAGTCGTAGGGAAATCATATTTAAAAGTCAAATCATTCTGGCTTAAACATGTATATAAATGTACTCTTTATCAGACCATATTTTACCAAAATTTAGATAATTTCTATATATATAAAAAAAAAAACCTGTCTTAAAATCTGTTTGGTTTTTTCCGTTATCTTATGCAGGCCAATTAATTATACGTCAGCCTGTACACCTAAATTTGTCCAACCATATATCAAGGGCCATCTGTCAATCATATTTTTTTTCGGTCATAGCATCTTGATTCATATGTTGCAGTTAATATACGCAATGGTTGAAATCAGAAATGAGAATCATTTCCTTTCCCATTGAGTTCCGTCCCAGTGTTCACGGGGATGGACGTCTGTGTCTTCAGCAGGCGTAGAGCTAACAGAACTGGCAGCGTTGCGAGGCAAGGGCTCAAACATGTACGGCTGTAAGCCTTCTACACCAAACCAAGCTTCTGCCGCCCTGGCGTCCTCTTCCACGACAACTTCATCCCCGCTTTCCTCCTCTAAATAACCACGACCTCCAACACAAAACTCCTCTTGCATGTTTCTGCTGTCCATAGCGTTCCTTGACAGTGTCGTTTCTAAGTCAAAAATTTAGTGCTACTTGGTCCCAATGGAATTTCCCATTGGGAACCTACTAGCACTAAGATGCTACAACAATCCCGCCCTCTTGATAAACGCCAATCTCATTCAATTTATTCACTCGTGTAAAGTCATCTATAGGTAGAAAACAACAGGTGCTGTCAAACCCGGGTTTTAAAACGGGATACTTGCCGGTAGCAGTTAAGGTCTTGTTTATGAACTCTATGGGTGCGGGCGGATAAAATTTTGAAAAATCAGACCAGTGCAGGACTGTGAAGTATTAACATCATTTTCTATAATTACCTGATCAACAGTAAAGTAACTTGCTATTTGCTGACAGTCAGCAAGCTGCGCTGTTCATGCAGAGCTTTACAATACTTTGAATTTGGTTTGTCACCAGGTTTTAGTCATTTCACCAAGTATTGACAACGCCTCTTAATTAGTCAGCTGAAAATTATAAACTTGGTAACAACAGGGTGTTAAAATTAAAGATCTCATCACATGTTCCATACAAGTGAAACAACATACTTCTGAGCTCTTTTTGAAGATACATCCTCATTTGTGGAACATCTTTTTAAATGAAACACAAGCTGTTGCAGCCTTTGACTCTTTTACCATCTTTTTAAACATGAGCCCCTTTTGTAGTGGCAACAAT